ATATTTCAGTATCATCAACTCTTTTTATCCTATGTTTTTAAATCTGTTTGCTTGAGCTAGTAATAAAACTTAAAATCTCATTATTCAGTAAATAGTTCATTGTCTCTGGATCAATTGCTTCGGCACCTGATCACTGTCCTTCAACTAGACAGGGGTTAGGTCAGAATGGCGTAAGAGGTCTTGCACAGTTGCGACTTAGCAAAAGGCCCTTTGCATATTTTTACTCACAAGCAGTTCTGCTTCTTAGGCTCACTCTTTTTTGCTTGGCTCTTGACTGGAACTAGAAAAATAGACAGCAGCAAAAGGACCATTTGCTGCACACCAGATCTGGTAGCTCCACTATTGATGGAGTTCCTGTGTTCTATTGCTAACATTCTTAATGATGACTCGGTAGCAAAGTTGATGCTTCGGGACGCTGAACACAACCCAATTTCCTGCTTTAACTGTAAATCTCTCTCGAATAAAGTCTTGCAGTGGGAGGGAGGGAGGGGAAATGACCTACAGCTTGAATTATTAAGCCTTCCCTCATGTTCCTGTGTGTCACTGTAAGCTCTAAAACAAAACAAAACAAAAATTAGATGTTTTCCCCATGGAAGAATGTGTGGATTACAAGATCCCCAGAGTGTGTCCCCTAATTACCAGTTATGACCAGTTGCTATCATGGTTCAGCCACAGAACATTTTTGCAAAGGACTTTGCAGCTGCTGAAAAATGGTCCCTGGGGGGCCCTTCAGAGGCATCCAAGACAGCAGTCTCAGCTCTTTCTCTTCCTGCCAAGGCCATTAAAAAAGCAAATAGGCTTCAATTATGAAGCTGAGGAAGGCCACGGCAGAGATGTTGACAGCTTAGCCCAGTCCAGTGTTTCTCAACCTTGGCAATGTTAAGATATGTGGACTTCAATTCCCAGAATTCCCCAGGCAGCTGGGGAGTTGAATTCCACGTTTCTTAACATTGCACAGGGTTAGAAACACTGTTCCAAGTATTATATTTGAGATGTCCTAGAGCAGTGGTGGCAAACCTATGGCACGGGTGCCAGAGGCGGCACTCAGAGCCCTCTCTGTGGGCACGCATGCCGTCGCCCCAGTCCTAGGCCTTCAGCTGGGTTTTATAAAACCTTTTCGCTTTAGGCCTCCGCTGCCATGTGCAAAAAAAAAAGGTCCAATCAATCAATTTCAACTTCTCGTGTGGGAAAAAAAGGATCTTGCAAAGTTGGGATTGATTGATTGAACTTTTTAGTCCCACCCAGTCTGCTGTTACCACCGCAGCCATGCCCACCCAATGACCACGCCCACCCAATGGGCCATGCCCACCCAATGGGCCACACCCACCCGGCACCCGACGATGCATAAGTAGGTTTTGGGTTGCAGTTTGGGCACTCGGTCTCTAAAAGGTTCGCCATCACTGTCCTGGAGAAAAGATGCCAGATGAATGGAGATGGGCAAATGACTTTCCTATCTTTAAAGAGGGGAAAGGAAGATTCAGACCTTGTAAATGTACTGTATAATGCAGTGTTTGACTAGGGAATTCTGGGAGTTGAAGTCCATATATCTTAAACTCGCCAAGGTTGAGAAAACATTGTCCTGCAATTTATCTGGCCAGGAGATTTAAACTCAATCAGAATTCAGCTATCCCCTGCATACATTTCTTCCAAGCTTCAATGTTTCTTGTTCATACTCTTTCATATTCTTCAAGTGTGGAACCCATACTTTTTTTGTTGGAGAAGACTGAACCAAACTACATGTTGAATACCTCTAGCTTTCTTTTCTTGTTTACATTTTCTTTTCTTAACTGGGAAGCTGACAGACTGGTTCTTTTCTTTTCTTTCTTTTT